ATACACTACAGACGAGGGCCCAGACGAGAGGCACCTGGGATTATCCACGAGGGCTGTAACGAGAGGCACCTGGGATTATCCACGAGGGCTGTAACGAGAGGCACCTGGGATTATCCACGAGGGCTGTAACGAGAGGCAGGGTTAAACGAGGAACAGGTGTAGCTCGTTAGAGCCACACAACAGAGAGAATGGGGGGAAAGGCATGTAGGTCATGACATTGTTGTTGTCAAAATTAACTTAAATGAAACGGTCAGTTTGCTTTTCTGGAAGAAAATTAACAATTTAGATTAATCAACCAATTGGTAAAACAGTTGATAGATTAATTGATAGAAAAATAGTCATTAATGGCAGCCCTAGCAGTAAATAGCAGTTGGATACAAGCTCCTTTATTGTTTCTGGAATAATCCTCTACACCTACTGTAGAAGCAGAAGCTGGGCAGCCAAACGCCGGCTTTGTGAATTGTCAGCATGCAGATTGCAGGGATGTCTGCTGGCTGTCACTATGTTATCACCCGACAGTGCCGGCCATTAGCATGCTTCCTTTAGTCTGCAGTGCTGGTGGGCCTTGTGATGGAGGACACTGTATACCACTGCCCATTGTACTGGATTATCTGGATGGTCTTAAGGGATCATGCTAAAGCATAGCTTACAATGTCACAGGGTCATAGTGTTAGCTTTCCAGTTATCTGCCAATGAGGCAAATGAGGCAAAGTGTTTATTCCACCATGTCACCAAAGCAAATGTGTGACTTGTGGTCGTCGATGAGTTCTGCAGCTCAGGGAGTGACTCTTGTAGTGCCAGTGCAAGGAACTGGTGCTTTGCAGTTCAAGGTGCTATATTCATCCAGCCAGCAGTAGTTCACTATGCATGGACTGCAGATTGAACAAGAAGGCTAAATTAATAATATAATGATGTCATGCTTGCAGTTTGCTGAGTAAACTAATTAATTGTTAGTTATGTACTGATCCCATTCATGATTAATCAGTTACGATGGTTCATGTATTTCAGGCAGGAACTATATTAGTTCATGATTTCTTCTTGAGTAGTAATTGAGTAACTAAACTACTTGTGCCCCCTCAAGTAAAGTGTTACTGAAAATTCTCCTGGAATTTTACTGGACATACTGGAATATACACTGCAACTGCCGTGTTACTGGGCCAGTTTATATAAAGTGCTGCATTATATCATCATGCCTGTTCTTTTGTGGGGGCAAACATGTCCCAGTTTCTCCATCACCATGCCTCTGTCCCCCATTCTGAAGCTGAAACGGAACCCCCCCACCCCCTCTCAATTGGCATTAGCCCTGGCCTCATGGCTTTCTGCAATTTAAAGCTTTATATTTAGCATTTAGCTCATGGATTTACTCCCTGACTGAAGGTGATGTGGCTCTGACAGAGGGTGCATGGTGCATGGTCAGCATAACGTTTAAAGACACACACTAACCCCTCACTGGATTCACAGCAATGCTGCACATTTTATTTTTTGTGAAACGTTAATTCCTCTTTTTGATTCACTACTTTCACTAAGCAGTCATGATGGATATAGCAATGGCTGCCGGCCTGTTTTGTTTTACCACATGAGCAGTGTGAGCAGCGCCGGATCTCACTCTCTGCGGACTTGCACTTTAGGCAGATCAGAGTGTCTTTATGCTGTACAGCCCGTGGTGGACTGATATGCTGTCTCTAGTGTCCCATCTCAGCCTCTGTGATTCTTGTGATAGTCCTCATAGCTCTGCATAGAATTGGTGATTTTTGGAAAACAAATAAATGTTGGCACTAAATTTGCGATAGGGTGCTCCTCGCCTAGTAATGACGGGGTGCTGAAACTTCAGGTAATATAATGTCATAATAATGCTGTGATATACCCTGCATTACCAGAACTCATCATGTGCGTCAATCTTAATGCCCGATTCTCCTCTTGTGGCTTATTGGTGTTTGTAACAGAAGTTACAAGTTTTATAAGTGATATAAGTTTCATATAAGTTATCTTGTGTATATTTTAGAGGTAAGTAAGTGAGGCTGGTAGGCGGGGCTTGAGACTTGGCGAGTGAGTAATGGGCCTGAGTCAGGGGCTGAAAATAACAGGGTGGCCAATGAAACCACTTACTCAGATAGAAAAACAATACAAACCCGCCAAGTCAGCCAACTCAGTGACGCTTTTACACTCTCACCACGGGGGTCTGCAGCGTGGTCTTTGGTCTGATAACTGGCGTATGGAAAGAATAAAATCAGAGCAGTTATTGAAATAAGTACAATCCTTGGACTCCTTGTCGTACAAGGAGTAAGCCATACTTAGATCTTTGTGTGACACCTGACTCCGCCCACACACCCTCCCCCCCCTTAATACAGCTGTCGCCTTGGGGCACAGCCTGCCCTCGCCCCCTCTCTACCGAGAGGAAGTCTGTCACACACTGATCATGTCTGCTGCCAACATTAAAACAAACCAGAGGCAAAGCAGTCCTCAAAATACCAGCCTGATTCAAGCACTGATGTTGTTATGAAGGGGAGCCACTGGTTGGGGCCAACTGGTGGCATTTTATTTCCAGTATGTTACATTTACGTTACATTTATGAACACCCAGCTACAGGTGTAAGCAGGATTGGAGCAGGAGCTACACAACAACTTCTGAGAAAGCTAGAACCTAATATGACTATTCAAGGACCAGAAATGTGAAACATTCGGGGAACGTAAAGGGGCATGAGGCTAGCAGATGAATTCCTGGAACAAACAGGTCTAAGGCATTTCTTGAAGGTGGGAAGGGAGTCTGATGATCGGATGTGGTTCAGCAGCTCATTGCCCATCAGGGAACCACAGATGAACTGCCTGGAGTGACACTTCCCATGTGGTGGAGGGATCTCCAAGCGGTGTTGGTTTGCTGGCCGAAAGGGGGGAGATGGAACATAGCAAGTCTTAAGCAGCCCCTAGATGGAAATGGGTGCCTGTCCATTAATGAACCTGCAAGCTGCACCAAGGACTTGATGTGCGCACCGATAGGGAGTCATAGTGGAGGGTCCAGTAGGAGAGTGACATGAGAACGCAAAGGCTGACTGAATATCAGACAAGCTGCTGCATTTTCAAGCATCTCTATTGGTCTGACAGCACAAGCTGGTAGACCTGCTAGTATAGAGCTGCAGCAGTCAAGTCATGGGTAACAAGTATACCTGGACTAGAAGCTGATCTGAATTCTTAGATTAGAGACCTGCGCGGGACGGATTTTTCAGTCCCGCTCCTGCCCCCGCAAGATTCTGTCCTGCTCCCGCCCGCTCCAGCAAAAAAATATATATTATTTTCTCCCGCTCCCGCCCGCAGTATTCAAGTTTTGTCCCGCTCCCGCCCGCAAAATCCCGCAGGTAAACATATAAGTAGTTTTATTTTTACCGCTTCTTCCCGCTACTCTGTTATTTGTTTCACTTGCTTCCCTTTTGAGCATATATAAAAAAAGAAACGGAAAATAAACAAATATGTTTCGTTTTATTTGAGTTTAATTAAATGGAATGATGAACATGGACAAGAACGAGGAGCTTTTCAGAACATACCATCCCGTCCAAGCACCAGGCTGATTCCTTCTTGGGGTGTCCGATTACGTCCCTCGGCACTCAGAGCGCGGCAATTGTAGTTTCTGTAGACGATTCGCTTGTAAATTGTTATTATTTTAATTTAGTCGTTCTTGTTGCTTTTGTGCAGTAGATAAATAATAGAGTATTTGTTTTTTAAAAAATAATTTTAAGATAATTCCATTTTGCGGGAATCCCGCGATTAATACTATTCTCCCGCAAGCCGCACATACTGTACATGAGGACCTTACCGCCCGCACCCGCATTCACCCATCAAATCTTGTCCCGCGCCGCACTCGGTGCGTTGGGTCCCGCGGTACTCCCGCGGGAGTGCAGGTCTCTTAGATAGAAAAGGCCTGATCTTCCTGATGGTATACAGGGTAAACCTGGGAGAATCGTCTCTCATGTTCCCGAGTCGAAAGTATCAAACTAATCTGCAGCTACAGGCTTATGGCTGCCACATACTACTGAACACAAAAATTAAGAATCAAGCACATTTCAGAAATGCCCTGAGCAAACGGCCATGGACGCCTCTTTCAGAGAAGTTGACCAGGACCAAGCTTCTTAATGTCTAATATAAACTCGCAGTAAAGCAGACAGTGTTTAGTGTAAAGTCATTATAAAGCAATAAGTCAGTATGTAATGTATACTCATTATAAAGCAATAAGACAGTATGTTCTGTATACTCATTATAAAGCAATAAGTCAGTATGTAATGTATACTCATTATAAAGCAATAAGTCAGTATGTTCCGTATACTCATAAAGCAATAAGTCAGTATGTTCTGTATACTCATTATAAAGCAATAAGTCAGTACGTTATGTATACTCATTATAAAGCAATAAGCCAGTATGTTCTGTATACTCATTATAAAGTATGCCAGCGCTTCCAATTAAATGATGATAAGTGACTATTATATACTAATTATCAGAATAATATTTCTCCCAAATGCCTGTAGATCCTTTGACATTAAGAACTGATGCTTATGAGAATAATAAAGCTTCAAATAGCTGTTGCATAAAAGTCTGGCTACTTTGTCACACTGGTCATAGTGAGGCAACTACACTTGTCAGCACACTTGTTATTTTAAGGGGTCAGACTGCAGGTGGCAGAGTGAAAGGTATTCCACGGGAACGTTGTTTACGCATAAAAATTAGTTTCAACCTCAATCTAAAGAAATTCTTGTAAAGTTGTGTTAGGTCACAAGGTAACTTAGGAGGTATTTGGGAAAAATCTTAATTAGTATTACATACTTTCCTCATAAGACTGGTTCGATTGGTTTAACTGACCTTTACTTTTCTTTGATTTGAATATGTGGCCTCCGTGAGCTGAGATTCAGCACCTGTAATGTGATGAAACTGCTTTTTGCATTTTTAGGAGAGCCTGGAATACGTCTTCCTGTTCCTATTCTCAGTAGAGTGCTTCCTCAAGATAATATCCTATGGTTTCCTCTTTCATGAAGGGGCCTATTTGCGGAATTGTTGGAACATATTGGACTTTGTCATCGTCTTCATGGGGTAAGGTGAACCCAGCAGGAGGTGGAACCAGCTGCAATGCACCTAGATTTATGATACACTTGTAAAGTTTCCAGTATAATTCATTGTCTGATATCGAGTGTGTGATGTCATCTGACCCAATGATCTGTGAATGGTGGCTTGCCGGTTTCCACTGATGTCACACTTTGTGATGTTTCTCCATTCTCCACCATACCCATCTACAGGCTTTTCACCCTTGCAGTGGACACCATAAACACAATTTCCGGAGTCCCAGCAGAGAAGGGAGGGGGCTTTGACTTGAAAGCCCTGAGAGCTTTTCGAGTCCTGCGGCCTTTACGCCTCGCCACTGGTGTCCCCAGTAAGATCCCTTCCCTGAGTCCACCAAACCATTATTTTGCTTTTGTCTCTACCTTTCTCAGTTTAATGTAATCTCTAAATGTACTTTTGAGCTTGCACTTGCTTGGGGTTTGGTAATTAACTGGTAATCAACAAAATGATAGTTAAGGAGTGTAGGAAAATGGTAAGTATAGGAATAAGTGGCCATAGGAGATTTGGTGTTAACCATATTAACAATGTTAGTAAATGTCTTACTGTTGCACTCCAGGCTTGCAGGTGGTGATGAACTCCCTCTTCAAATCCATGCTACCTCTCATGCACATTGCCCTGCTGGTATTCTTCATGGTGACCCTCTATGCCATCGTGGGTTTGGAATTGTTCAAGTGCAAGATGCATAAGACCTGCTACTACATTGGCACGGGTCAGTGGGCTGGGGGTAACGGAGCAAGACAAGAAAGAACAGGGTTAATGGAGCAGGACAGGACAGTGGACAGAGGGGCTTCTTGCTCAGGTTACTGGGGTGATGGGTACCACTGCAAGTCAGCCTTCATTGGCGATAGTGCCATCTTTATTTCGCAATGGCTCCTGATGTCCTGACTCCTTTGGTACCCAAGAAGCAGCCAGACTCCATAACTTAGCCCTTCACTTCCCTAGCCACTCTTTGTCCATTTTCAGTAACCCAATTGGATCCAGGGTTCCTATGGCAGGAAGCATGTGGAATAAAGTAGCAGTCTTAGGTTTAGATAAGCTTTTTAAAAGCCTCTTATTGGGAACAGAGCATTCCTTTTACAGGATCAGCACATAGTCTTGGCCTCCATAACTTGCTGCTCCCTTTCTCTGTCAGATATTATCGCCACGGTGGACAATGAGAGGCCATCACCCTGTGCACAGGCTGGCGAAGGGCGTCGTTGCACCATCAATGGGTCAGAGTGTCACCCAGGCTGGCCTGGCCCAAACTATGGCATCACCCACTTCGACAACCTGGGCTTTGCCATGCTGACCGTCTTCCAGTGCATCACCATGGAAGGCTGGACTGACGTACTCTACTGGGTATGTACCAGCCTGCACCTTTCAGACCAACACACCCTGTTACTGTCCTTATCCTGGGTCTCGTGACTTTAATAACTAGCCCCATCAGTATTTTTTCCTGTGCCCCACAAGTGAGTTCTCTCTTTTTATCTGTGTATGTTCCCTAGACATGCTTAAGCCCATAGCCCCTTCCTGATGCTGTATCCTGCAGCTTACCTAACAAGCTGTCTGCATGGGCCTCCCTAACCCTAAACCCAACCCTAAACCTAACCCTTCTCCATAGGGCTGTTTCTGCCTAGTGACCAGTGTGTTAATGATTAAACATGGTTCTGAGTTACATCATTGGTAAAGTGACTAGTTTCATTCTGGTTTTGCCTGATAGCTGACAAACCCCCCTCTCTGTTCATTATGCATTACTTACATCTTTTTCTGCTTGATTTTATCCTACAAACATAGATTACTAACTAGTTATCTTCTTGTGTCCTGCAGGTGAATGATGCCATAGGCCCGGAGTGGCCCTGGCTTTATTTTGTCAGCCTCATCCTCTTGGGCTCCTTCTTTATCCTCAATCTGATTCTTGGTGTGCTTAGTGGGTCAGTGACTTCTGCTGACTAGAGGTCATATTTAGGTGCCACTCCTGTTTTCCTGGGTGTCCTTCTCACTGTCTCCCTCGTCTGTCCCAGAGAGTTCACAAAAGAACGGGAAAAGGCAAAGTCACGGGGTGAATTCCAGAAGCTCCGCGAGACGCAGCAGTTCGATGAAGACCTGAAGGGCTATATGGACTGGATTACCCAGGCTGAGATCATGGACATCGACCAGGAGGGACAAGGTATATCGCTAAAATGTAGTGACAGGGCCAGCGATTACATCAGCATTATCTATTCACGGTGAACCAAAATATTTGCATTTCATAGTCACATGATGATATTTTATTAATCATCACAGTGCTATCTCACGGTTCATTTGCGTCAGTGCATCACTGAATTTCTGCTGTGTGTCACTGTGCATCTGCATCACTATGTCTATGAAATTCTGCTGTTTGTCATGGTATATCTGCATTGCTGAGTGGAGTGTGAGGGAGGGATGTGATGGAGAGGGAGGGGAGCATGAGTGAGGGATGTGACAAGAGGGAGGGAAGCATGAGGGATGTGATGAAGAGGGAGAGGAGCGTGAGTGAGGGATGTGACAGAGAGAGGGGAGTGTAAGTGAGGGATGTGACAGAGGAAGGGGAGCACGAGCAAGTGATGTGACAGAGGGAGGTGAGTGTAAGTGAGGGATGTGACAGAGGAAGGGGAGCATGAGCAAGGGATGTGACAGAGGAAGGGGAGCATGAGCAAGGGATGTGACAGAGGGAGGGGAGTGTGAGTGAGGGATGTGACAGGAAGGGGAGCATGAGCAAGGGATGTGACAGAGGAAGGGGAGCATGAGCAAGGGATGTGACAGAGGGAGGGGAGTGTGAGTGAGGGATGTGATGGAGAGGGAGGGGAGCATGAGTGAGGGATGTGGCAAGAGGGAGGGAAGCGTGAGGGATAGTGATGAAGAGGGAGAGGAGTGTGACTGAGGGATGTGACAGAGGAAGGGGAGCACGAGCAAGTGATGTGACAGAGGTAGGGGGTGTAAGTGAGGGATGTGACAGAGGAAGGGGAGCATGAGCAAGGGATGTGACAGAGGGAGGTGAGTGTGAGGAAGGGGAGCATGAGCGAGGGATGTGACAGAGGGAGGGGAGTGTGAGTGAGGGATGTGACAGAGGAAGGGGAGCATGAGCAAGAGATGTGACAGAGGAAGGGAAGCGTGACCGAGGGATGTGACAGAGGGAGGGAAACATGAGTGGGGGATGTGACAGGGAGGGGAGTGTGAGTGAGGGATGTGATAAAGGGAGGGTAGCATGAGTGAGGGATGTGACAGAGGGAGGGGAGTGCGAGAGTGGAGACAGTGGGGAGCAGGAGCAATCTTTTATTTTCTTTTAACAAATGAGAGTAATATCTTTAAATGAGATTTCCTGCCATGATTATTTATTTTACATCCATGAAGCCACAAGCGAACCCGGAACATATAGTAACAAAAAAAGAACATTACATTGGCACAATTAGTTCACAAAATAATGATGCCAGAAGTTCACACACAAAATCTTTTTGATGTAGTAAAAATGACTCCATTTGTTTTGTTTTTTTGTCAGGACTTCTGCCAAAGGAGGGTGGCTCAGACACTGAGAGTCTGTATGAAATGGAGGGCCGGAGTCGTTTGCTTTATTACTAGTGAGTATTCCAGCAGAGTCACCTGGAGTATATCACTGACAAACAACAAGAGCTGACAGAAGCCAAGGCAGCTGCCCGGATTCCCTGAGCTGCTTCTTAGTTTTCTTCTCACTGCAGCCATCGCTCACGTCACTGGAACCGTTTCTTCCGGCGGAAGTGTCGCTCCTGGGTGAAATCCCGCGTCTTCCACTGGCTGGTGGTCCTGTTGGTGCTCCTCAACACTTTGGTCATTGCCACTGAACACCACCACCAGCCTGAGTCACTTACCACTGTACAAGGTACTGGAGCCTAAAGAGATCTTTTGTTTTGCCTCTGTAACCAGTCATGATTGTTGTCTGATATTAGATTGCCATCTTTGTCAACTTCTTTGCATTCGCCCTTCTGTTACTGTGCAGCTCATTTGTGGCTATTGTTACATAACTATCTATAGTGCCCCTGCACTGATTTTCACTTCCTATTTTGGGATCACAGAGACGGCCAACAAGGTGCTGCTGTCGCTGTTTGCCGTCGAGATGTTCCTGAAGATGTATGCTTTGGGACTTCCTGCCTACTTTGTGTCGCTCTTCAACCGCTTTGACTGCTTTGTGGTGTCCGTGGGCATCTTGGAGCTGCTGCTGGTGCGGATGGATATCATGACGCCCCTGAGCATCTCGGTGCTGCGTTGCTTCCGCCTGCTTCGCCTCTTCAAGGTCACAAAGTAAGCCAAGTGCCAGCGACTTTGTATGACTCAAAAAGCATTCTTGGAATTGTAAATTCACGCTTTATTTCTGTTCAGCATCACTAAGGATATGTGAGTAATTAAGAAGGTTGTGTGGGGTACTCCTGTGAATTTGTTTTTTATGTTAACTGAGGACATGTAATACTGTTTAGATGAAGAATTTTTCTTAGGAAGAAATTAACATAATTCAGGCCATAAAGGACAATGGGCATTATTTAAACCAGTATAATAACAACAACAACAACAAATTTATTTTTGTATAGCGCATTATCACAACATTACATTGTCCCAAAGCGCTTTACAGCATCCCCACCCAAAGCCCCCAGTGAGTAAGCCATAGGCGACAGTGGCAAGGAAAAACTCCCGAGAAGTAAGAAACCTTGGGAGGGACCAGACTCAAAGGGGGAGCCCATCCTCCAGGGGGCAGCAGAGGGAACCCTAACCCTAACCAGACTCAAAGGGGGAGCCCATCCTCCAGGGGGCAGCAGAGGGAACCCTAACCCTAACCAGACTCAAAGGGGGAGCCCATCCTCCAGGGGGCAGCAGAGGGAACCCTAACCCTAACCAGATTCAAAGGGGGAGCCCATCCTCCAGGGGCCAGCAGGGAGAGTCAAATACAGTAAATTTTGAGACACAAACGGGGAGCAGGGGGAAGATGGCAAGCCGGTGCCAACGCTCCCTCCAATCGCCAGGCAACCAGAAGGCAGGCAGCGGGTCATACATGGAAGATGACACAGGCAGAACGGCAAGCTGGATGCACGGACGTCATTGGTAGAGGCGACGTCACATGTTGCAGGGTGTGCTGGACATCTTGATAGATTGAGGGCTCCAGGCAGCACCCCCCAGGAGAAGTAGGGGAAATAAAATATAAATAACTCTTCTGAAAACCTTAAATATCTACCTCCAGGCAATATTTAGTGTTTTTATAAAATTAAGTCAAACTTCTGTTACTTTCTTAGCTACTGATAAACCTTCAGTGATTCTGTGACTTTCCTTCTCAGCTTGGGCCTTGAATCTTTCTGCCTCTTCAGGTACTGGAAGTCCATTAGCAACCTGGTGGCCTCCCTGCTTAATTCGGTGCGCTCCATCGCCTCGCTGCTGCTGCTCCTCTTCCTCTTCATCGTTATCTTCTCCCTGCTGGGCATGCAGGTGTTCGGGGGCAAGTTCAACTTCCCTGAGTATCAGGTTCGGCGCAGTAACTTTGACAGCTTCCCCCAGGCACTCATCACAGTGTTCCAGGTATGAGAATGATCAGCTATCAACAATACCACGAAAACAAAGATTTCTGCCTGAGAAATGTATTAGGAACACTGATGTAAATTATTTTTTTCTTTCAAAAAATGTAGAATAGGGTCAGTTAACAGTAGAATAAAATAAAAACACATTCCAAACAGCAAAGAAAATTTCAGGTTTAAACCAATTCTGGCCCATTATATTACCGGCCCAGAGAGTATGGGCAGTGTGCTTTGATTCCTGCCTGTAAAATTTACACTATTTTTTTTATTTAAAGCATAAATGACCTATAAATTAAAGGAATTGTGGGGTTGTTAAAAGAAGGCAGGATGTGAGGCCACACTTCTCTTTCCTTTGCCCTGTGTAGGTCCTCACTGGAGAGGACTGGGATGTTGTCATGTATGATGGGATCCGGGCCCATGGCGGGCCTGACTTCCCCGGGATACTGGCCAGCATCTACTTCGTCATCCTCTACATCGTCGGCAACTGTATCCCTGACAACCAAGCCAACAGGGCGCAGGGACAAGCGTATACAGTATTTTTTCTTTTAATGTTATTGTTAGTTGAAGAGTGATACTTAACATGTTCCCATAACAGTTTGCGATTGATTTTATGGTTGTTGTGTGGGAGTGAGGAGGCATGGTGGTGTGGTGGTCAGCGCTGTTGCCTCACACCTCTGGTCAGAAGGGCTCAGGTTTCCTCCAGGTACTCCAGTTTCCCCTGCAGTCCAAAAACATGCTGAGGTGGATTGGAGTTGCCAGATTGTCCGTGGGTATTTTTGCTGTGATGGGTTGGTGCCCAGTCCTAGGTTACTCCATGCCTTGCGCCCATGCTTCTGGGACAGGCTCCAGGCTCCAGACCCTGCACTCGACAAATGTGTACAGAAAGTAGATGGGGAATGATACTGTCGGTGTTGGTGCGAGAATATCGATGTTAGTTTTGTTAAAGTGTGTTCCTGTAACTTGTGTTTGTGATGCTTTTTTGAGATATTTTTGTAAAGACTATGAGCATCTTCCTTTAAACTTACAAATTGTAGATGTATCAGCAATCAAATGCATTTCATTTATAGATACATTTCTGAGTTACGTCGTCAGAGAAGTGAACAGGTTCCACGCAGGTGTGCAGACAGCTCTGCCTCCTGACCTGTTTCCCTTGACGCCAGTCGCCCAGTCATCCTTCTGAATGTGTTCCTGGCTATTGCCGTGGACAACCTGGCCGAGGCAGAGAGTCTCACTTCGGCCCAGAAGGAGAAGGCAGAGGAGAAGAAACACCAGAAACTGCTCCGGTGAGTGGAGCTTGATGTCATATTAGGCTTACAAGCAGGCCCAAGATACAGTATACACCTTTTATACAAACGTCGATAGAACTTTAGATGACTTGTGTTCACTGAATCTACTGGGATTGCACTGCCAAGATGAAAGCAGACCAGCCATCAAATGCACAGAATATAGTGTCTTAAAGCAGCTGAATGATAATACAAGTTTCTTTGTGGCAGAGGCAACGTTCCACAGAAGACTGACGAGGACAGGGCCCTGATGGTGAAGAAGCTGGCTGAGCAGAGGGCCAAAGCTGAAGGGATGCCCACCACAGCCAAGGTCAGCCCCGTGGATGCTGTACAAAACAGGCTGAGTGTCGAAGGTGTAGCGGCAGTGACGTCATTTTATAAAAACATGAGAGCAAGATATTAAAGATAAAACAAAGAACCGCCCAGTAACACCAAATGATTTAGTACATGTATTCATTTCAGCTGAAAGTGGATGAGTTTGAATCAAATGTCAAAGAGATCAAGGATCCTTTTCCGCCAGCTGATTTCCCAGGTATCTAGCTGTTCTCCATGTAAGATGCTATGCATTGCTTATACCGCTGATGAATTCTCAAATCTGATTGGTTATTTGGGTGTTGATTAATTTCTTGTAACTGCATGCCTAGTGCCACAGTAGTAATCTTTAATTCTAACTAGGGCTGTGCGATATGACCAAAATCTCATGTCCCGTTATGAATCAATTCCCAATAACGACATACCTGTATATTACGGCTGCACCTGCTATTTTTGGATTTTTTCTACAGATCAGTTACAGTAGGAGTTGGACAAAAATCTGCAAATATAAAAGAGTGAGGTCATAAATGTAACGCGATCCACAAATAGATGGGAAGTGATCCACAAATGTGCAAAACCCTTTTCATGTGTACAAATCACTCTCTATTTTTGTGGATATGATTTTACACAACACAAATAAAAAATACATATTTCTGAATACTTAAATATTTGTGGCTCGTAGTACATATTTGTGGATTATCTTCTGTGGGTTACAAATAATAAAGTCCAATAAAAACTTACATGCAAGTGCCACATCCCATGTGCTTGCGAAATTCATCCAAATGATGAAAGAATGTTACCATATGCAGTGTATTCTGCATCACCACGAAATAAACAATAGAGCATAATATGAAATGATAGACATTTTTATTTCATCTTCCAATATATCGTCATATCGATCAGCCCTAATTCTAATGTTACCTAAAATTTCAGATGTAGAACACAATTTAAAAAAACAGAAACTTAAAAACAAAGATACTGCTACAGATCACCTAGACAGTAACCTAGACCAGGACCTGCGGTCAGTGATTAGATACCAAAATGATTTAGTGATAAACAAGATGGTACACAAGTCCAACTTTAATAATTGGTAACCAGTAAATAAGTCATGTTTTACCCATAATACAGCTGACTACCAAGGGGTGCATGAAGTTAAATTAATAAAATATGGCTTTATTAACATGTTCATTGTCTGTATATTGCCTGTCTAATTTGAGAGATACCGTCTGGCAGAACCCAAATTCCTGTGTGACTTAACATACTTGCTAAATTCGATTTCATCATATTTGATTCTGATTCTGATTTAAATTACACTGCCTCCGTTGCCATGCATTTGACAACGTATAATGAACGGCCTGCAGTGCATTAACCTGCTTGTACCACAGTCACTACACATTTGGCACATCTACCAAAGACTGGTCTTTTGGCTTATCAATGGTTTTAGATCTGCCTAGTACATATTACATGTCATTTCTTACAATGATTTAAAAGCTGAAGAAGCATGTCACCCATGAGGATTGAAGGAGGTTTTCTCCCTTTGCATCTCCACCACCCCTGCCGTCCTGGTTGCCTAGGTGATGACGAGGAGGAGGAGCCAGAGATCCCCCTAAGCCCCCGCCCCCGGCCCATGGCTGACCTGCAGCTCAAGGAGAAGGCGGTGCCGCTTCCTGAGGCCAGCTCCTTCTTCATCTTCGGGCCCCAGAACAAGTAAGCTGCTGTTTATGGTCTCCAACCAGAAAAAGTAGGACCTGTCAAGAGTGGTTGGAGCTAGTGAGCTTCTAGAACATTTTGGGGCTATGGCTTGTCAGAATGTAATAATATGCACAAGACAGACAAACCTCAAGGACCGAAAGAAGTGGAGGTTTCCTCAAAGGAGGAAGGAGGGGGGACAACCAGAATCTGCCATTTCCCGTTGTCTGTTTGTATGTCCTCGTTATGCAGAATCTGCCATTTCCCGTTGTCTGTTTGTATGTCCTCATTATGCTCTCTGGCAGGGAGTTCCGGCATCAGCCGTAATGACTTCTCTGTTTCTGCTTAGGTTACGCAAGATATGCCACCGGATCATTAACGCCACCCCCTTCACCAACTTCATCCTGCTCTTCATTCTCCTCAGCAGCATCTCCCTGGCAGCTGAGGACCCCATCGATCCCAAATCCTTCCGGAACGAGGTCTCAATTGCTGTCAATTTATACCGACTGTCCCATAAAGATGATATCCCAAAAAAAGCTGGAAGTTTAGGCAAATGTTGTAATACTGTCACATAATACATTATTTCCAAAGTTACAGTGACCAGACCAGGAATGCTGCTATTTTTATTTCAGATTTTATTCCAGATTAATTTTAAGCAGCCACAGGGGAACAATGGATAGCTCATATCTCCAGGGTTGGGAGTTTGAAACCTGCCTCTGCTCTGTGTGTGAGATGTTTTCATGTTCTCCCCCTGCAAACAGGCACACTGGTGGTATTAATCACCAGTAGAGTGTAAGTGCCTCCTGTCCAGGGTTTTCTCCTGCCTTGTGCCCTTTGCTGCCTGGGCTGGACCCAGAACCCCATGACTTGTACTTTATATGTGTTTGATCTATGAATTTCAGTGCCGGTTTAGTTTATCTTCTATGGCTAAAGTACATTTAAAGATTTGACAGAACTCAGGAAACACATGTTTAGTTGTGGTGTTCTAGGGCAAACCATTAGTATATTTACAGGTAATTAAAGGTAAAGTAATTGCAGGAAATTACTAATTTAGCTAATTAAGACTGAGCAGTGAAACCAATGAAACAGACAGATGGACTTCCAATTTGAAAGCCCTGATTCAGAGTTTGTCCTTAGAGGAATGTGTTAAACTTGTATGGACAGCAGTGTATGTCATTGTTGGAGTTCCCTAACATGATTCTTCATCTCTGACCAGATCTTGGCTTACGCAGACATTGTGTTCACGTCTGTATTCACCGTGGAAATTGCACTAAAGGTACAATAATCAGCACATTGGCAGACATATTGTATTATTAAATTATTAAGCTCCTCAACAGAATGTTTCATCAAAATGGAATTGCACCAGCTTAAAGTCTTTATACTGTTATCCATTTCTGTGCTTCAATTAAATGTAGTGCTTCAAGTAAATATATTGCGCAGCATGACCAATATGTTGTTAACCACACTGTTCTTAAACCTCACTGGCTACCACGTTATTGTGAGTGGAGCTGACAACATGTGGCCAAAACTGTTTCCGTCACATGAGTGCTGTAATCGCAGATGATTACATACGGCGCCTTCCTGCACAAGGGGTCCTTCTGCCGCAACTCATTCAACATCCTGGACTTGATTGTGGTGGTTGTGTCTCTGCTATCCATGGGAATGGAGTGAGTTAACTTTTATGCATTTAGTTTAGTTTGCCTTTTATTGTCCAAATGGTCAGTGGCCACATAACCATTTCGTTGTGACCTTCTAACTGTGCCCACCCGTCGCCTGGTCTGTGTAGCCATACAATCCAATAACCAAGACAGTATGACCATGTGCTGATGTGGCCATGACCAGCTGCCCATTGTTACAGTGTGATGGCATCACTGTAACCTTATTACTATGTGCTCTGTCCACGGCAGGTCCAGCGCCATCTCGGTGGTGAAGATCCTCAGGGTTCTGAGGGTGCTCCGGCCCCTGCGGGCCATCAACCGAGCCAAAGGACTCAAGGTGGGCTCAGAACACGCTCCCAGAAAAACTGCAGCAAACTCACAAGCTCTCTGCATGCAAATAATACCTCTGACTATAGTGGTGTTTCCCACAGACAGTCAGAAACGTGGACTGTCTGGCAGGGAGCTGGGAGGGTGCGCAAACGTGGACTGTCTGGCAGGGAGCTGGGAAGGAGCAAAAACGTGGACTGTCTGGCAGGGAGCTGGGAGGGAGCAAAAACGTGGATTGTCTGGGAGGGAGCAAAAATGTGGACTGTCTGGCAGGGAGCTGGGAGGGAGCAAAAACGTGGACTGTCTGGCAGGGAGCTGGGAGGGAGCAAAAANGTGGACTGTCTGGCAGGGAGCTGGGAGGGAGCAAAAACGTGGACTGTCTGGCAGGGAGCTGGGAGGGAGCAAAAATGTGGATTGTCTGGCAGGGAGCTGGGAGGGAGCACAAACATGGACTGTCTATGGGTCCCTGAGGACCAGGTTGTGAAACACTGATCTATAGCAATAAAGGCTATTGGCTGAGCAATCAGTTATTTTCCACACACAGCTCAACAGGGAGGAAAAATGTGTGGTTACACTGCTGGCTTTTATTCCTTTTCATTAACAGTATTACACACACTACAGTCTCATTGCACACAAAGCATCATTTCCACATATATATTTATATTTACCAGAGAAAATTGCTTTTCAGACTCCAGTTTGGAAAATAAAGCTCCTTATTCAACTACTTTTCTGTTCTTAACATATTTAAATCAGATTCACAGACTTTCAGGAAAGTTTGAAAACTCCTCTCTGCCTTTAAAACCAGGAGAATTAGCATAATTCTACAGGTTGGTTATTGGCATAAACAAATACCGACTGAAGAAAATCACTACTTGATCTTGTTTAACAAACAATCCCTATGAGCAGCATATTTTAAGAATTACATCAATATCATTTCTAAGCAGATGCCTTCATCCAAAGTGACTCACATATCCTTGCATTTATAGATTTATAATATTAATTCCCAACAGTTATAAGTTGAAGAAATCCATGGTATAGACATCACTTATGGGCTCTGCTGCACTCCTGCCTGTCCATCAACTTTTGGTCCAGTAACTTAATATTCCAAAAGTATTTCAGTATGTAGTATCTTACTACTGTGATGATTTTGGTAACTGTCAAAATGTGTTTTTCTTTTGGTGTTTCTGTTTCTGGTTGAGTAGCATGTGGTCCAGTGTATGTTTGTGGCCATCAAGACCATAGGCAATATCGTCCTGGTCACCATGATGTTGAACTTCATGTTCTCCTGCATTGGCGTTCAGCTCTTCAGGGTGAGTTGCTGGGTATTCAGTCTTTCACAACTTTAAATTTAAGCCACTGAGCAGAAAAGTGAGCTTTCAGAATGAGGCTTATTAGGGAAACAAAACTGTAGTCCTTATATCTTAGTAGTTTCGGTTACAGGTTTCCTTAATGGACTAGCACTGGAACAGTAAGATTCAAGGCTTGATTACTATTACAGGCCAATGTTGATCTCACATCAGTCATTAACAGATAGTTAAACCATGTCCTGTCTTTTTCTGTTCATAAAGGGCAAGTTTTATCGGTGCACTGACCCGTCCAAAACAACGGAGGAAGAATGCCAGTAAGGAAAAACACATTTTCCTTTGGTTCCTCGCAGTGAAAACATAGATCACATTCTGCACTGTCAAATGCTTGTGGACAGTAACTTCTCACACATATGCACTGGTGTCTTTGCTGCCCAGAGGGACCTTCATTAGGCACCTAGAGAATTCATTGCAGGAGATGGATCTGCAGAAGCGCAAGTGGGTCAACAGCGACTTCAACTTCGACAGTGTGCCCAGTGGTATGCTGGCCCTCTTCACTGCCTCTACATTCGAGGGTTGGCCCAAGTGAGTATCATGCTAGTTGGGCCCCAGCTACCCCCCCCCAAGGGCTGTAGGGCATTATGTGAAATAAGGGTCCAGAATGGTCTGCATGCTCCTAAGTTCTCTGGGTAAACTATTGACATTGTGTGCCTTTTGTTGACATGAATATTTCACATTTGGCTTCTTCTCTACTATCCATAAAGGATTTAATCTCTTAAACCCAGTTTTTTTGGTTGTGTTGATCCAAGTCCTCCCAGATGAATGAATATAAATGCTTACATTAAATCAATCTGAATTGTGTGTTTATGGATCTGTTTGCTTAAACATTTGTCCTGTTTTATTTATAGTATCCATTAGCCGCTCAGTTCATTGTGGCCTTAATGGGAGTGTCTAAATGTGAAGCAGAGGCTTAGGCCCTACCCGCAACCTCTGTGACCTTTGGTTGACCATGTGACTCACAGGCTGCTGTATACAGCCATCGACTCGGACACAATAGACAGAGGCCCCGTATTCAACAACCGCATAGATGTTTCCATCTTCTTCATTGTCTACATCATTATCATTGCCTTCTTCATGATGAACATCTTCGTCGGCTTCATTATTGTGACGTTCCAAGAGCAGGGCGAGGAAGAATACAAGAATTGTGAACTGAACAAGAACCAGGTACACATTGTCCTTGGTAGGAGGGGCCCCCTCTCTTAGTGGCGTCTAGGTTAGGGTTAGGATTAGGGTTAGGGTGACACCACTTCCATTGTGTGTGACAGTAAAAGTATGTAGTTAAATCTCATCTTCAATAAAACTGATGTTACAATAAACACATTATCCATTATGTTGGTACAATGTTTGAATATGAAACAGTATTGAAAATTGATCAGCTTTGCCCAGTTCTGGTGTTAGAAGGCTGTAGTCTGTCAAGTTTTGTTTTCTTTGAACAATGAACTGCTCAGTTACCCCAGTGAAATTCTTTTCTGTGTACTTAAGAAGAAACTCAGCTTGCATGTGTACCTGTCTGTGTCCTGTTAGCGCAAGTGTGTGCAGTATGCTCTGAAAGCCCGCCCACTACGCTGCTACATCCCCAAGAACCCCTGTCAGTACCGCGTCTGGTACATGGTCACATCCTGCTACTTTGAGTACCTGATGTTCCTGCTCATCATGCTCAACACGCTCTGCCTGGGCATGCAGGTAAGGGGCAGAGATTTGTTTTCATGAACAGCTGGCCTGACAGACATGTGCAATGTACAGACTTCTGTGTGTGTAACTGCATAAATGCTAATACCAATGTAAGGCTGAATTTGAATCAATGAATGCTCGTTATCCAAGGACATGTTTCTTTAGGATGTGTGTTTGATGTTAATGGCTTTAGGCTAGCATCTATGAAAAGTTCGAGTTGGAAGTCCCCAAGTCTCAGTGCTGCGTGTTATGTGTCCCTTCCGAAATCTTAGCACTGCAACCAGTCGGACTACATCACAAAAGTGTCAAACACACTGAATTTGCTCTTCACCATCCTTTTCACTGTTGAGATGATCGTCAAGCTCATGGCCTTCAAAGCCAAGGTTAGTATTGCTGCACGACACTTGGCGGCTTAGAGGGAGCTTTCAGCTGAGGCTTCATGACTCCCTTGAAGCAGTTGTGGGGATCCACAGAAATGTATTATATGATCTACTTAAATGTTAAAGATCACCCCCCCTCCCCCCTGGTCCTAGAGCTAGGGACTCTATAGCTGTATACTTTCATCTGGGGGTTGTTGTTGGTGAAAGAAAGACAATTTCTCCAAAACCAAAGCTGTACCACACCAAACAAATCACTTACTCCTCAACTGTGGTAACTTTCACACCCCCTCTATCACCAGGGCTACTTTGGAGACCCCTGGAACGTGTTTGACTTTCTTCTTGTCGTTGGTAGTATTGTGGATGTCATCCTCAGCGAGATCGATGTGAGCACTTTGGCCAAGCAGCCTTACACTCACAGTCTTACACTCACAGCCTTACACTCACAATCTTACACTCACAGCCTTACACTCACAGCCTTACACTCACAGTCTTACACTCACAGCCTTACACTCACAGCCTTACACCCACAGTCTTACACTCACAGCCTTACACTCACAGCCTTACACTCACAGTCTTACACTCACAGCCTTACACTCACAGTCTTACACTCACAGTCTTACACTCACAGTCTTACACTCACAGCCTTACACTCACAGCCTTACACTCACAGAATCACGGTCCCCAGTTACCCTTCTCCTATCCTACAGTATATTATCTCACTTTCCATTGTAATATGTCTACTCTCCCCTCACTATTCCATTTGATTGGTTCTTATGCTACCCCACTCTGTTCTGATTGGTTCTCATGCTGTGCCTATTTGCTCCGTTCTTCCTTCCAGAATGCCCTTGCTGCCAGTGGAGGACTGTACTGCCTGCAGGGCTGCACTGTAACTATCTGCTCTCACACTGCATGGGCCATGTGTGAGGCCATTGTCATTTGGATTGTGTGCTTTGGTTGGTTATGCTTCTTGACCACCTGTTTTTGGGCCATGCATTTAGATGAACTTTTACACTCGGCTGTTCACCGGGATGACATGTAACATTTTAGATGACAGCACCTCTGAATACCTGATCTGTGTGGCCTGCCTATTAACTTCTGTTTATTTGTGTCAAAATCAAATTCTTGCCTCATTGTGTGTACAGATCCTCATTTATCTTACATTATATATAAAAGAGAACTTTCAAAAATTATGTTTGAAAACTTGGCACGTGTACCTGTCTGGACCTTGCCAAGCCCAACCCCTGAAAAACAACCCCACACCATAATCCCCCCTCCACCAAACTTTACACTTGGCACAATGCAGTCAGGCAAGTACCGTTCTCCTGGCAACCGCCAGACCCAGAGTCGTCCACCGGA